CCCCCCCCCCCCCTATTTCCTAAACGGGCTGTATGCTCATCTTGAAATTTTGCAGGGATTATTGGGTCATCATATGTAATTATTTGGCATAATAAAAGTTTCAAAAATCGAGGTACCGAAAACGGGCATTTTTTGGAGCTTGCAGAGGCTCTTTGATAAATCGATTTTATTAAAATTTGTTACTAGTGGGTTTTTGGGGTTGGTGATTTTGAATCTGAAGTCGCGTTCCGGACATTCAAAACTTCGAGTCGAATACGACTAAAATAAAAATGTGTCCTGCTCTCAGCATTACCCAGGATCAACGACGTAGACGTAACAGGAAACTGATCCCTTCGGGGTGTTGATTTAAAGTTTAAATTTTTGAAAACTGACATCAGATTTACATTCGGCGACCCAAAAAACTTTTAGATACAGAATTTCAGAATAATTAAAGAATTTTTCGAGTTTTATTGTACGAAGTTAGTTTTAAGAGTTGCATCGAAGCATTTGTAGAATGTGACAAATCACATTTAGAAACAGGATGGGGAGTACCAGCAGTCTCCACATGGATCTAGAATACATACAATCCAGCATTCCGTGTTTGACGCCTTGCAGAAAAATTTTCAATACTCGATAATCTTTCTCGTGTTAGATCACTTAGGCCTTTAATCTTATATATATATAAAAAAAAATGGTACTATATATACATATATGCAGAAAAATAGTAACACTTACTCATTTAAAACGTTTATCCAAGTAACAATAAAAATAAATATATCTATATATATATATATAATATAGTATACATGCGTAATAATATAATAAGTACATATATTCAAATAACCATAAGTTAATTGCCCGGCGTCGATTACAGTACACGAAATGCCTGTGTTACGCTACCTCTGTTGTGCCTCTAATCAACAAGCTGAACAAGCAGAAGAATCATCTGTAACGGAACCAGCAGAGGATCAGTGGGACACTCACCAATACTTGATGAACCTCCAATGTGTTACCACAATGGAAGAACGGGTCCATCAACATACCAGTACCTCCTCCAAAATTTGTAAAGATTGCTATGAAGCTTTAACGAATGAAGAGAAACACACCTATACACCCGTCTTTGCTCACATGCTCATCCTTGGAGATTCCGTTCGTAACCAGACAAATTGTATAACTTGTAGGAAAATAATCATACGAATACAACCCGCGGATGAATGCCAGAGCTGCATCAAAGTATCTGTAGAAAGAACGATTTCTATACTGACACATTTTATCAAATTTGGACGTTGTGGATTACATGTGACAAATCACATTTAAAAACAGAATGAGGAGTACCAAGCAGTCTCCTCATGGCTCTAAAATATAAATAAAAGCCAGCATTTCGTGTCTGACGCCTGCAGAAAGATCCTCAACACTCGATAATCTTTCTCGTGTTACATTCTACAAAATCACTTAAGCCCTTAATAATAATAATAATAATAATAATAATAATAATAATAATAATAATAATAATAAATAAAAAAAATGTATAATTCTCTTTTCTTTCAAGAAAACAAAACAAAAAAAAACTTAGTAACTACTTGATCGTCATTGCAGCGCGAAATGCCAAAGTACAACCACTTCTGCTGGATCTTCAAGAGGCGAGAGGCAGAGTCGGAGATGGCGACATACAAACACCATTGGTATGCCTATAGATACCTAACCAAGCTCCGATGCGTTACCACATGGAATAAACGCCCAATATACCAACGTATTGGCAATCACGTCAAGATTTGTGAAGAATGTTATGGGAGTATGCCGATTGATTTAGCAGCTTGCTATGTACCTATCCGTGCACATCACCTAGTCCACATGGATTCAGTGGATCGGCAGAAAAAATGCACTGTCTGCAACAAAATAATGTTCATAATAAAAAGCGCAGAAGAATGCGCCAGCTGCCTTCATGGATTCCAGAATGCCAATGAAAAAACCAAAGCATACTTAGAGTTAGGGTGGGGATTACCAATACCGACAATCACCACACAAAAGCAATAATTCTACGGAACTGCCCGTAATGAGACACCTGACCTTTCGCAGCCTGCGACGTCCAAGTAGTTCTTCACAAAAGCATTTAGACAAAAAAAAGGTATGTGTTGCATGAGCATCGTATTTGAAAGAAAAGGGATATGTAATGAATAAGATTATTCATCTTGTAACTATTTGTTATATTCTTCGGTAATATTCCTTAGTCATTTAAGTAAATCTTATAATACGCGAACATTTATACCTTCATAGGCAATAAGTTAAAAAGGGAGCACGAAGAAATGTTAGAAGAGATATCTCACCATTTTTACCTACCTCTTATTAAACAATAAATACATCATTTGCATCTCAAATGCATCATTTATTATATATATATATAAAAAAAAAATTAAAAGACAGGGGATTTTAAAAAAAAACATCATAAGTGTCTCACCTTTTCCTTCCTACTCCTGAGGGAAAGTTATACGAACATATTTTTATAGTAATACCGATATATATATATATATATATATATATATATATGTATACAACAAAACAAGAAGTACGAAGGAATTAAATTATAGACATCATAAATGTCTCATCCTTTTCCTTCCTGCTTCTAAAGAAAAATTATGCAAACAAACTTTAATAATAATATACACATAATATAGACTAAGAAAGGGAGTACGAAAGAAATAAAATATATAAACATTGTAAGCGTCTCGCCCTTCTCCTTAGAAAAACCATACAAATAGAATTTTATAATACTAATAAAAAGGGGGTACATATAATAATAAATATACAAATGTAAAAATAAGAAGTACGAAGGAATAAAGGAAGGGGTTATGGAGGTCGCCTCACCATTCCTTCCTGCTTCTTATCAAGAGCAAAACCATGAATAAACAGATTTTCATTATGATAATGTAGACAAATATATCATAGGAGTACGAAGGAACCAATATATAGAGACATTGCACGATTCTCTCCTTTTCCTTCCTGCTCCTGAGAAAAACTGTACAAATAAATTCTTATATAATAATAATAATAATAAAAGATATTAGATACAAATAAATATATAGATGTAAAAAAAAAAATAAAACAAGAAGTACGAAGGAACAGAGGAAGGGGTTATGGAGGTCGCCTCACCATTCCTTCCTGCTTCTTATTGCGGTGTGAAAACCATAAAACCGAAATTTATGTAAAGGCAAAGCCTCTTCTCAAGAAT